AGTTATAATTACCTTAGAATTGAGTTGAACTGTCATTACAAAAAAAAAAAAAATGATAATGTGAAGCTGATGGAATCTTCAAACCCATGCCATCAACTTCACGTATTTCTGCTGATTTTACTTATGAAGAACATGACACTTGGAATGATTTGATGATGTTCAACAAACAAAACAATAGAAGGTGGACATCTGTCAGATATCTGCTATACACAACAAAAAATATTCATTAGGTAGCAGAATATCACCTAAAATGATCTAATAGAAATGAAGACATATTCAACTTTTGTTGTTGAAAGTCTTTATGGTCAGCTGCTGTTGTCTTTATAATTTATTAACATTAAGCCTCACTCTCGCATGAACTATAGCTTGAACTTTTACCTAAACTTGTTGTCAGACCAGACAGACAGAAACAGGTTAGTTTCCTTTGTAACGTGACCGACTCCAAACTCTTGCTGTTTGCATGTTAGGAACCAGGAAAGAAACGTCTAAGCAGAATGAAACATTGAAATACAGGTATGTTTCATTATGAATACTTTCTTTATGTTTGTTCTATGAAAATGAATTGTGAGGTGTAACAATAAACAATGTTTAGTTTAATTCTGAATGTTATTAATAATTTATGGGCTGTAGTAACATCGGTTATAGTTTCACTTTCATCTTCTTTCACAAAACTGATGAAAGTCTGTGTAAATCTTGTGTTCAATGTTGAGAAGAACAAATATTCACTGTTTAGTTTATATTCTGTTTTCTTGCTCTTTCTAATACATTGGTGTTCTGTCATTTCATAGCATGGATTGTATTCTTGTTATATTAATTCAGAGTAAAGAGACACAAAATCATCCAGTTACAAATGCTAAATACCATATAGAGGCTACACTCTCAGAAAATAAAGTACATAATTGTACCTTTAGGGGTGGCTTGTCACTGGGGCTGTACCCTCAAGGGTACAGATTTTGTACCCTTGGCAGAGGGTACATATTTGTACCCTTGTGCCAAAACTTTTATTTCCTTTATTTCAAGGCTAATCAAATATAGTGATAAGTTAAAATCTACCTTAAATAATTAAGGTATCATTAAAACTTTTAAACAACAACTTAAAAAAAATGGCTTAGCAGAGTCTATCTCTTGATTTTGCACACAGCAAACACTCCAGTATTAAATATGGCTCCAGACTCGAATGTTACAATGGTAAAATATGAGTGTTAAATTAACATTCAAGAGTGTTGATAATAAGTGAAGTTAATGAGCTCATTACGTGATTCATTGAGTGATGATTGACCATTATTGAAGACACCTGATATTAAAGGGATAGTTCACCCAAAAATGAAAATTAAGTCATTAATTACTCACCCCCATGCTGTACCAACCCCGTAACGCCGCCTTCACACTGGCAGTTAAAATCAGCTCTGTACTACGCAATATGTTCCCAACGGACGTCTTACTACACAGTGAAAAGCGTCGGACGCGGGTAGAACAAAAATGGCGGAGACATTAGAAAAGTTGATCCTGTCAGTTGATCTCTCTGATGAGGGGTATAGAGATTTTAAATTAATATGAAGGCTGCTGCGTGAGGAAAGTTACTGAGGACGTTGACATGTCAAGTTGACTAAAAATGTGATATGATGGTCAATAGTGCAATGTCTCCCTACAATTTAATTGTATTAACTGCCCTAATAATGTTAGAAAGTCATGAAAAAAAAAAAAAAAATGACATGACAACTTATCGTTATAAAATCATTATTTATTTTAATAAACGTTAAGAATTCAGGTTTGTTTATCAGTACCATAGCAACGCTCAACTTCCGCCGGAATTGTCGGATAGGAACCGTCCGTAGCTTTTCGTAGGAGTTCAATTTTTTGAACGCATCCGGATGACCAACGGACACGATTTTCTTCGCACCGCACACAGTCGGACCCGTTTCAGACCCATTCGCATGCGTTCTGCGAATCTCCATAGGAAATTAATGACTTCCGGTAGTTTCGGAGTCGTATCGGAGAGGATTTCAACTGCCAGCGTGAAGGCGGCGTTAGACCTTTGTTCATCTTCGGAAAACAAATGAAGATATTTTTTTATTAAATTTGAGAGGTGGATCACTGCTACATAGGCTGCCTAAGGGAATGAAACTTGACGGCCCAGAAAGTCATTAAAGAAAATGTTTAAAAAATTCCATGTGACTACAGTGGCTCAATTATAAGTTTATCAAGCGACGAGACTACTTTTTGTGCAAAAAAAAAACACATAAATAATGACTTTATTCGACTATTCCATTACTTCCTTGTGGGCCTTGAGACGAGAGTTGAAGAGATTTCCAGAACGTATGCGCGAGAACTGAGATGAGGAAGTTCTTCGACTACTTCTTGTGACTGGCTGCTCACCGCTTATATTACCGCCACCTATTGTATAAGATGACGTGCCGGAAGCGCAAAACTTTCTGTTTAAAAGCAGAGGAAGACGCGCGCTGTACATACGCTTTTCAGTTAGCGTATTTTCCGCACTAGAGGTGCACTTAAAAGCCTTTAATCTTCTCAAAAACGACAGTGTGCCTTATAATCCGGAGCGCCTTATATATGGATCAATTCGTTAACAACGCTCCGCGTTATTAAATTCGCCCGCAAACTCGCGCTCGTGTCCATCTTATGCCCGCTTTGTCACACGGCCAGTTCAACCTCCTATAAATCAGGTGATGTGTGTCTCCCGCTCACGAGCGCTCACTCTTAACAGACACACGAACAGACACACTGTCCCCGACGCTGCTTGTGCGTCACAGAATGTTCATAAAGCGCTCTCCGTTCACAGTACCGGGTCGTCTCATTCAAAACAGCCAGCTCACACATTGATTACTCATATGATTCAGGCTGCGAATGTAAGTTACGTGTCCGCCCCAGCGCGCTCACACTAATAAACGCCTCACCTCCGGCGCTGTGCACTTGCTACATTCCCAGCACATCTAGTGGATCCATAACGCAAACCCAGTCAAACGTTTGACTGCAGTATCTTATGCGCCTCATAATCCGGTGCGCCCTATATATGAAAAATGTTCTAAAATAGGTCATTCATTGAAGGTGCGCCTTATAATCCGGTGCGCCTTAAAGTGCGGAAAATACGGTAGACACTTAATGTGCTGTAGGTCTCGCTATATTATATACAATGGTTAAAAAGTGTGCATTTCCAGGATGACCGAATCGTGAGAAACCAACCAGAGAGCACACAAAAAAATTCCAAAGGCTGCGAATAATGTTCAGAAAACAATCTGTTCATCTGTTTTCTCTCTTCTGGGTTAACAGAGCAAAAAATATTAATTTAACTGTAACATCTGTGAATGCACAAAACGAGGTGTATTAACTGCTACCTGGTTGATAACATAAAGCCCACCTTCACACTTTTAATCCTAATCCTCACAGCAAAATCTCCAGTGTCCACACTACAGAATGTTAAAATGATCACTGAAGCAGTGTTAAAGTTAATTAGATAATTAAGTGATTAATTAAGTAATGATTGGCCATTAGTGGTGACACCTAATGTTAATAAGCAGAATCAATGAAGCAAAGAGAAACAACAAGAACAGAAAAAAGAGAAACACAAGAACTACAACTGACTGTGAGCCATTACACATTATGCACTTAATATTATTTACCAGTTTGACTTTATTTCTGTCATACATCTAAAGGGCAAAAAAAAAGATCCAACAGCAATTTGAACAATTGTAAAAATACTGTGTGCACAGAAGGACTTGTGTTTAGACCCACAGACATCAAGAATCAGCATATGAATCTCAACAATGGTGACAATAAAACAAACTAGTGACAAACAAATCAACTCTGAGCATCACAAATCAAACTACTAAAGTTATAACAAAACAATAGCAAAATAAAAGCAAACATAAAAAACATGATAATTACAGGACAACACAGTGGCACAATTTATTCATGCTGCAATGCATGATGTGAGCCATGGATGTGTTTTGATTGGTGGCTGCCATCATGCACTGCAACAAGAAGCATTTGTGTGATTGTCACCATTGTTGATATTCATATGTAGATTCTTGATGTCTGTGTGTTTCATTTTTTTCTCCTACTTTAAGATTATTAAAGCATTACTAGAATTAGCTACTGTAATAAAAAATGATTAAAGCATTTGTATAATCAATTTAGAATGCTGTGTGAGATCAGTGAATCGGGACACTATAGGATTGTAATTTCATCATCGACACATAACCATCAGGACCTGAGCTGCGTTTCCCATAAACATCTTAAGCCTAACTTGATCGTAGATCAATTGCAATTAAATAGTCTGTATGATCAAAATAGGCTTACGATTTGTTCAGCTAAATGCAGCCCAGGTCATGGTTTCTCTTGCCACAACAAATGTGATTTATAAACACAGAGTTGGAGCAGCCAGACAAAAAGTAAAGGGTCAAGAGTCCAACACTGATCACTATAATAGTGACTCGAAACAAAACATTCCATAAAACATTTGCATCTAAACGTCTATTAAATCTAAATAAGATTGTCATTTAGTAGATCTTTGACAGAAATAAAGTCAAACTGGTAATTGTACGTGCAATAATGTGTAATGGCTCAAAGTCAGTAGTTCTTGTTTCTCTTTCATTCAATGATTCTGCTTATTAACATCAGGTATTTTCAAAAATGCTCAATCATCATTTAATTTATCACTTAATTATCTCGTTAACTTCAACACTGCTTCAGTGTTAATTGTAACACCTTGTAGGACACATAATATGTACACAGAGGAGTGTTAATTTAAAACTTGTTTTTTTTTTGTGCACGACTAGTCACTTCAAGCTGAATGTTTGATTTGATCAGTGTGTTTTTTTCATTGCGAAGCAAACCTGTGAATCACGGCTCCATACGACACAGACTGATGAAATTAAGGACTGTATCTCAGGACTGTGATGGATCTCTTGCTGGAGGATCAACTGACAGACCCCCGGAGTCAGATAAGATCATCAGCTAAGGATTAAAGAAAGACACTGAGGAGAAAAAAGAATATAAACATGTCAAACGCTGACAACAGTGGTGAGAATCACAGAGAAACAAGCTTTAAATTATTGTTCATGTAGGTTTTCATTAATAGAGTTACAAGTAGGCCACTGGAGGAAATGTCAAGAAGGAGATTTAAAACATGTATGCATAATACATTTATAATTCTGTTTATTATTAAGGCACCATTGACAAATGATTGATTATCCTGAGCTGATTTTCGTTTCACGTTTTCTCTGATTAATATTGCTTCTTGCAAAAAACGTATTTAAATATTTTCTGTTGGTACGTGTTACTGTGCTGAAAGTCTAATGTAATGCAAGTCTTTTTTTATACAGAGACTGATGTTCACAATCCTCCTCGGAGAAGAAGATCAAGCAAAAGTAAACCTCCTGACTGTAAGTTTTTATAAAGATAAAAGAAAAGAAAGCGTGATGTGATGTTGGATTAAGATCAAAATCTTGGTAATACCATGTTAACTGTCTGTAGTTCAGTGAGTGATCTGAGGGTTGTTCTGCTGGGGAAGAGTGTGTCAGAAAACAGTCGAGTGGGAAACTTCATATTAGGACGAGCAGCGTTTGACAGTGAAGCTCCTCCAGATGTTGTAGAGAGAGTTGGAGGAAGATTGAAGGACAGACACGTGATCCTCATCAACAGTCCTCAGCTGCTCGAAACACACCTGTCATTTCGTCAGATCACGAAGACTGTGAGAGAGTGTGTGTATCTGTCAGATCCAGGACCTCATGTGATCGTTCTGCTCCTCAAACATGATCAGTGTTCAGCAGAAGATCAAGAGTGTGTGGAGAAGGTGCTGGACTCTTTCTCTGAGCGGGTTTATCAACACACCATGGTGCTCACGACACAAGAGCCGACTGAAACCGACGACATCCTACAGAAAATCATTCAGAAATGCTGCAACAGACACTTCAGTCTTCAGGGAAACAGCTCTCCTGATGATCTTCTGCAGACGTTTGAGGATATTGAGCAAATGAATGATGGACGGCACCTGGATTGTGCTGAAGCTTCACAGGGTTTCACAATGAGGCAACAGGACACAGAAAGACGTGAGTGTGATGATATTTGATCATTTGTAGTAAAAACGTATCTATAATATAAGTTTTTTGTTTTTTATTTTAATATTCTACTATCATACCGCTGTTAACACTATGAGGGACATCCTGGTGTTTCCCTACTTTTCCCTACACCAACAATAATTGGGGAAGGGAGGTCGACTATATAGAGGGACACACAAACTTCCCGACATGACATAATCCCTAAGAAGGTGGCTGTCTAGGAGGAAGCATTTAACACGATTTCACACTCCAATATGAATAACTGGAGAGGGTGGTAAATAAGAGCATGGGACGCAATGCCTTGCCCAACATACTCCCATTTACCTACAGTAGCTTCATGCTTAATATAGCACCCATCCACAGGGAGCCCGGTGTGCAGACGCTTGTTCTTCTTTCCTTGAGAAAAGGGACAAGCGTGAGCAGAGCTTCTTCCCTGTGAACTTAATTCACTCTCATGAGGAAAACGTCTCGGTTACGTATGTAACCCTCGTTCCCTGAGTAGGGAACGGAGTCGTTCCGTCGGATGTCGATGAATCAGCATAAATCATCATGAATCAGGCCCAGTGCTGCTGTGGCCGAGTGGGAGGAGGCGGAAGTCAGAGGAGGGCGTATTCAGCGGACTGATGCGTCTGAACTGGTGGCTGGTTGGCAGCAGATGGCCACGGGGTCAGACAAAATAGCCACAGTCCACTTCTGGGCGGCCGAGAACTGTTGGGCGAGAAGTCCTCGACCGCGCCACCGAAGAGGCCAGCCTGGGATATGGGTAAGTCGAGGAAGTGGGTTCACTCAGCCTCGCGCACATCAACCAGGTTAAGCCAGAGATGTCTGACCACGCATGTGGACATCACCTGACTCAGGGAGCATGCGGTCACCTTCGTCGCTCGTAGAGCAAGGTCAGTGATGGCAGGCAGCTCAAGGATGAGCCCTGAATCAGCCCTACCCTTGTGCATGTCATTGAACACCCAGAAGGATGGGTAGGTCCCTGCCACCGTAGTAGACAAGAACCTACAGGCATTGGAGGGGTGCTTAGGGTCGCCACGCCAGGTAAAGCTGCTGTGGGGACACATAAGTGTTGCCTCTGAACACTGCACAGGGGGAAACCCCAGTGTACCTTAGGCCTCTAGGAGGGCAGAGAAGGCGGAAGAGGCTGCTGAGCAATTTGAAAGACGGGGTGTGGACCGAGGAATTTTCGTCTGTTTAGTTCCAGACCTGCCGTCTTCGGGCTACCAGCCCGAAGTATTATCTCACGTGGAGAAAAATATATCGGAGTGTGGATGAGGGGACTCTCACTCTATTGAGCTCATCGAGTCTCGACCTTTACATTGCGATGGTCACGTTTCCGCTGGGAGAACGTGGCACAACCTCGAGCGCTGTCTGAGCGCGATCAAAGCCCAAACACACGTCAAACAGCGCTTGCGCCCATCAGCTAAATCCATCAGAATACCGCGCTATTAACACGGGCAGATCGTCTTTAGAAAGACACGTTTTTAAAAATATGTGCTGCATGCACGCTCTTTTTGTGAGAGAAAAGCTTGCAGCAGTGCTGAAGCGCCCAGGGAGAAACACACATGCTGTTCAGTTCAGTAGGCAGGAATATGAAACTCGCCATCACCCTAACACCGACTGGAAGTGCCTTGTCTAGAAGATTCTCGAAGATAGTCAGAGAATAGGCTGCATGAGTGAAGAAAACTCTTGGCTGCGAAGCGAAAACATACCTGCATTTGCCAGCGTCCTCATTTTATAAGTACGAGGTAAGGCGGAGATGCGCTATGCAAAATCCGCAGACCCATGGCATTTCTTTGCCATTGACTCGTTTCGTAATACTCAAAGTCGATAGGCTTTCTAAGCAAAACCCCATTCGTCATCATCCGATGGAACTCGGAGTGACAACGAAAGGGAACACAAAGTCCATGCGTGTCCTCTGGTGTCATAAAACGAAGACACAGATGAACACACTTCCTGAAACTCTCTTGCCAAACACTACAAACTAACAGAGCATGTTTACACAAGCTCAGACACCGATTATGTGAGAAGGTTTTAATAATAAAGCATTAATACCAAGACACAGCATCAAGCTTCTACTTCGAAGGGAACTACTACTATTCTCTTGAGCAGTGAGACTGAAAATGTTGCTGCTGTTATTTTACAATCTGAATCATTTTTGTTTCAAAAACAAATCTATAAAATACAAATAATTCAGTTCTAAAATTCAAATGTATAAAATTCAAATCTTTGTCTCCTGCTTTATATTAAACACCCAGCTTACACTGAAACACACTGTTACACTGCAAATGTTCTCTGAGTCTTAACTATTTAATAGAGAACAACTGTCTGCTGGAAATTTAGAAAAGTCTATAGATGGTGTGTCTCTGAACTGCTCCACCATCTATAATGTGCAAACCTTATAGTGTGACCTGAAGGAGGATCATCTAGAGGTCAGATAGCTTTTGTTTATTTCACCAAAAGAGTGCAATCAATAATAATAATAATAATAATAACACAACATTACTCCAAACTATAGTAAACACTGTATAAAGAACAATGTACCAAAACAAACACTAAACACTCTTAACCCTGTACCTAAGTACCTAGTACCCTGCCACAGGGCTATTTTCACACACAAAAGTAGTAGTTGCTCTGTGCTTTGGTGCTGTTAGTGATCACGATACATGCATAGAGCCCAAGCCAAATCAAAGCAAGCCCAGTTTTTCAAGCAGGCCAGGCACAGTACAGAGCGATAACACTGGTCAGACAAACCAAACATTGGGGGTCAAACTTGCTCAGGCACGTTCAGATCGCCTAGCCCTAGTGTGAGTACATCCTTCCTCACAATTATTTATAGACAATCTAAAAGTATATATGATGTGATAGAAGCAGAAAGTAGACCTTTTACAAACACAAGGTTGTTACAAAATGTAATATTAAAAAAAACTTTTTTAGGCATTACAACTGATGCATTTACCTTTTTACAGGTTCAACAGAGAGTGAAGATGATCTGAGGATTGTTCTGCTGGGAAAAACTGGAGTTGGGAAAAGCGCAACTGGAAACACCATCTTAGGAAGAAACGCTTTTAAAGCAGAGGAATCTTTTGAATCAGTGACCAATGAGAGTCAGAGAGAAACATCTGACATCAACGGTCGACGTGTTACTGTGATCGACACTCCAGGACTGTTTGATACTGAACTCACTAATGAAGAGATCCAGAGAGAAATCAGACACTGCATCTCCATGATTCTGCCTGGACCGCATGCGTTTCTCTTACTGATTCCACTGGGACGATTCACTAAAGAAGAACAAGAATCAGTGAAGATCATCCAAGAGACGTTTGGTGAGAAGTCTTTAATGTTCACCATCGTGCTCTTCACCAGAGGAGACTTTCTGAAGAACAAAACCATTGACCAGTGTTTGGGAAAACCTGGATCTGTGATCAGAAACCTGATTGAAGTGTGTGGAAACAGATATCATGTGTTCAATAATAACCAGACTGGAGACCGAACACAGGTGTCTGATCTATTGAAGAAGATAGACAACATGGTGAAAGCAAATGGAGGGAGTTTCTACTCCTGTAAGATGTTCAGACAGATGGAGAGAGAACAACAAGAACAACAGATGAAGATCCTGATGGACAGAGTCAGAGAAAGAGAAGAACTGATGGAAAAACTAAAAGAGGAGAAAGAGAGAATGAAGATTATGATGGAGGAAGAACAACAGAATTATGTCAAAGAGAGAAAGAGAAGAGAAGAGGAGGAAAAAAAGAGGTGGGAGAGAGAAGAACAGATTTCTAATGAACAGTATCAGAGACTCAAGAGTGAAATGGAGAGAATAGTCAGAGAGAAAGAAAGAATAGAAAGAGAGAGACAAGAACAGCTAGAGGATTTAGAGAGGAGACTTAAAGAAGAAAGAAACGTGAGAGAAGATCAACAAAACACTTTTGAAGAGAAACTGAAACTCCTTGAAGAACAGCATGAAGATGAACTGAAGAGAAGACTAGAGGAGTGGAGAGAGGAATATGAGAGAGAGAAAGATGAGGAGATGAAGATCTGCACTGAAACTGATGATTCACTACAGGTGAGAGTTCAGAGAAACCTTGAGAAAACTATTCATGTTCATCCATTAAACCTCAAAAGCTCTACACATATTGCCTTTCTATTCATAGTTATCTGAGTAAATATGTTCATTTCACACTTTAAACAACTAGAAAACCTTAAAAAAAATTATATATATATATATTATTGTTTTGATTAATGGTAATAATATTTTTTTATTTTGTTTACTGTATAATTGTGTTTTAAACAGGGAGAAAACAGTGACATTGGAACAGGAGTCACAGCACATCTATTTCGCAGACTTCATCTTCACGGGCGTCACAATAAACTGAGAGCTGCAGATGTTCTTCAGGTAACTGAACATTCATTACAGTCCCATGAGTCTTGTGCTGAAGAGGAGCTGGTTCAAAATTTCCTTCAAAAACTACTGATGATGGACTACAGAGTAAGATATATTAAATCTAAAGAGACCAATGAAGGTCACAAAGAACAAGGCACCTATGACTCATTTAGACAAGAAGCTGATTCTGATGACTTTTTTAATTTCAATGTAAAATCAGTGTCTAATGAAAGAACAAGCCGGTCTGATCGCATTCACCCGATGGATGTTCAGATGGCCGTGTTTCATTGTGCTGATGGTTTCCTGAAGCAGTTGATGGTCACTAAACTGTCCCAGTGTCAGTACGCTCTGCCTCTGCTTGTTCCTGATCCATTCACACAACAGATTGAGTTTCCTCTCTGGACATTCAGACAAATCAACAAGAGCTGGAAGATGAGAAACACCAACAATGAAATCATCAGTCAAACCCATCTGGTCTACAAGGCACAAACTCCAATGGTGTCTTTCTTCAGGTTTGGCTCTGTGTCTTCATCCAAGTCTCAGCTGATGAACAGTCTGATCAATGAGAAACACAACACGTTCTTCCACAGGAACTGTCCAGGCAGCAGCAGAACCAGAGTCCTGATGGATGGAGTGGTGGAGATCGCCTGGTTCTGCCCCTCTGGGAAAAACACGGATAAATTCACTGACTGTGTTGCGTTCTGTAATCTACACGGTGATGCTGGAGATCATGAGAAACAGCTGCAGATCCTCACTGAAATGGCCTCAGTCAATGTTGTCCTTCTACCATGTCTTCAGAGGGATGACAAAAGTGCAGAAAAGATCCAGAACATGTTCAGAATAACAACACCTCTTATTTGTCTTTTTACAGAGGATAAATCTTCTTTAATGAAGATGAAGAAAGGGAAATTTAAGATTGGTCTGAAAGACAGACATCAGTCAGAAGTATCTGAAGAACTCAGAAGAGCCATAAATGAGTGTCTCTCAGAATCATCTTCCACTTTCAGACTTGAATATTTGTCCAAACACTCAGACATCAGAGTAGATGAGAAAGATGATGAAGACTGCAGGAGAGGAAGAGAAGCAGCACAGCAGATGATGAGTTTACTGGAGAAGAAAGATCTGACAGAAATTAAAGAATCATTTCTGCCTCATCAGGGGAAACTGTGGCATCAGTGGAGTCAGAAGAACAAAGAACTACATCGACCTCGAGCAAATGAGACAGAAATGGACATCAGTAGAAAACTAACAGAGATGAAGAAAATCCGTGAACAGCAGCATGAATCTGAGATCAGTGAGTTTATGAAGTTCTTTATTAATGAAATTAACTCAGATGCTGCAAATAAAAATTTTTTTTTTCTGAAGTTGCTTAAAATATGCCTGGATGAATATATGTCTACTGGCCTTTCTGCTATACATAAAAAATATGATGAAAAGTGGTCAGCAGTTGTAAGACTGAAAGAGAATGATGATAAATCCAAGGAATTGACAACTGAAAAAGAAGAACTTGTGAGAATGTCTAAGGATCTTCAAGCTGCAGGCTTTGGGTTGGAGCACATCATGAGGGAGATCGGTCAGATCTATGAATCATGTTCATCTGTGAAGAAGAACAAGAAAGATCTGCCGTTTGACTTCTCTTCTCTCCCGAGTCTCGCAGCAGAGATGATGATCTCTGGATTTCCATTGGAGCTGATGGATGGAGATGCTGCTCATGTTCCTGTGATCTGGATCTCTGCTGTTCTAGATAAACTCATCCAGAAACTGGGAGACCAGAGAGTCTTTGTGCTGTCAGTTTTAGGGATTCAGAGCTCTGGGAAATCCACCATGCTGAACGCCATGTTTGGACTCCAGTTTGCCGTCAGTGCTGGCAGGTGCACCAGAGGAGCTTTCATGCAGCTGGTCAAAGTCTCAGACGAGATGAAAACACAGATGAACTTTGACTATATTCTGGTTGTTGATACTGAGGGTCTTCGTGCTCTAGAACTGGCTGGACGATCAATACAGCATCATGACAATGAATTGGCCACATTTGTTGTTGGTCTAGGAAATCTGACCTTGATCAACATCTTTGGAGAAAACCCATCTGAGATGCAGGACATTCTTCAGATTGTTGGTCAGGCCTTCCTGAGGATGAAGAAGGTCAGACTGAATCCCAGCTGTGTGTTTGTGCATCAGAACATCTCAGACGTCACAGCTGGAGAGAAAATCATGGAGGGAAGGAGACGACTGCAGGAGAAACTGGATGAGATGACAAAACTTGCTGCAGAAGAGGAAGTTTGTGATGCAGAATGTTTCAGTGATGTCATTAGATTTGATATTCAGAATGATGTGAAGTATTTCGCTCAGCTCTGGGAGGGAAACCCACCGATGGCACCACCAAACCCAAACTACTGTGAGAATATTCAAGAACTAAAGAAAACGATCATGTCTTATCCCTCAAAATCACATGGAATGATGCTGATAGACCTAAAAGATCGTATTAAAGATCTCTGGGAGGCTTTACTGAAGGAACGATTCGTCTTCAGCTTCAGAAATTCTCTGGAGATTTCAGCCTACAGGAAACTGGAGACAAAATACAGCAAGTGGTCCTGGAGTCTTCACTGTGCCATGATGGAAATTGAGAACAAACTACACAACAAAATAGAAAATGAAGCAATTCATGAGGTTGAGGAAACCGATCTTCAAAAAGAACTGAAGAAGACAAGTGAAGAAGTGGAGAAATCAATGTCAGAATTCTTTGAGAAAGACAAAGATAAAGAAATACTGATTCACTGGAAAACATCATTTGAAATCAAAATCAAAAATGTTCAAAACAACATTGTGAGAGAAACAAAGAAGAAATTAA